GTCTTGGTCTCGGCCACGTGCATCAGCTCTGGATTTCCTTCGTCAATCTCGGTTGGCTCGAGCTTTGGCCCGACCATCTGCGTGGGCGCTTGTCCAGCCGCCTCGTTACCTCCAGTGATCGTTGCCTGGCGCATCATGTTGGGAACTTGCCAATATGCCCTGACCATCCGGATAGTCATTGGTATTCGGATGGTATCTCTTGATGGTTGTTATTCCTCATCGTGGCTGCATCGGCCAAGCTATTCGTACATTACATCAACCAGGCTGAAACTACCAAGCTACTCGTATAATACGTCACCATGAACTGCTTTGGATTATGGTTTTTATATTACCGACATCGACGTGTGCCTCATTGATGATGGAGCTCGTCGTCGTCGTCGTCATCCGAGATATCTTCGCTGAGTCGTTCGCTTTTGGCAAGCTCAATCGCGCTTTTGATCATACTGATAGATCGGACGCGGTCTTGGCGCGAGAGGCTAAATGAAATGATGCCGACGAGCTGCCCCTTCTTGTCAACAGCCGCACCACCAGAGAATCCATTGTCGAGCAGCGCGGCGGACCGGAGAAGGGCTTTGGGAACCTCGACGCCCTTGTAAAGCTGCGAATCCGTGCCCGAGCAGATCGCGTGGTGCACGGTGATGGTGTTGTGGCCGCTGCTCGGGTACCCAAACATCCAGAGCTCATCGCCGGGCTCGACCATGTTGGAGTTGCCAATGTTGACGGCCGGCAGCTTCAAATGGCGCCAATCGAATCCGTCGTTGAGCGGGCGCACAGTCCAATTGAGCGCGATGCTGCGCTCCGTGACGTCTCCAATGTACAGGCCGCTTGGTGGGTCCGACCAAACTTCGCCCTCGATCCAGAGTAGAGCGACGTCCAGCTCGGCCTCCGAGACGTGCGGTAGGGCGCGTGCGTGGTACTTCCACGCAGGTGGCTCAGAGGCCGACTCGGTCGGCGCAATAAGCACCATGAAGCTCGATGGGTCCGACATGACATCGAAGCGCTCGCCGACGAGGCAGTGGAATGCCGTGGCAACGAGCCCACGCTCGTGCAGGACGATGCCCGACCCGACGTTGAGTAGCTGGCCGTCCATAGTCAAGACGGCGATACGCACCGTTGACTGCTGCACTCGACGCACAAGCGACGTCCGGTACAAGTTCATGGCCTTCTTGCGTTGTGCAAACTTGGCCGCGGGCGTCACGGGACCTTCGGACGTCGACCCAGCAGCTGTCGTCTCGTCAATATCGTCGTCGTCTTGGCCCATGTCGGCAACGAGGCAAGCGGCCATGTTAAGCAGCTTCACGCGTGGGCCTGCTGGAATTCCGAGGTCGCGAAGGTAGCCCGCATTCATCATCGTGAGCGCTTCAATGTCGATCTCTTCGCGCTCAAAGACGGGGCCGTACTTTTGAAGCCCTAGCGACGCCAAGAGCGACTCCATGACCTTGAACGACTTCTTCTTCGCTGCTGCTTGCTGCGCCGCGCGCTGCGACGTCCACCGGATCGCAAACTTTTGCTTCCATGGCAACGTCTCGAAACCGACGCCGTGAATGTCGCGGTGAAAAGCAGCATCCATGCTTGCGGCATCGTCCGTTGGGAAGGCGTTGCGGTAGAGTGGCTTCCATGTTAGGTCAAGGGACGCCCGCTTGTACCACCATCGACATGTCATCGAGACGACGCAGAGGTCGACGTGGTTGAGGTAGCTTAGCATACGCGCGAAAACGCCACGGGGCACCCAGGCGCGCGAGTGAATGAACGAATTGACGGGTACCACGCTGCCAGTGAGCACGTGTGGGAAGCACGAGTCGCAGACCCGGGACTTGTGCGTTTGACCACGCAGCGCAACGCGGTGACGGGAGCAATTGCTGCAGAAGCTGCGCCCGCAGTGGCGACATCGATGGGCACGGCGAAACATTGTAAACTTGTCCGTGCACTGCGTACATGCGTCGCGGCTGCTCGGCCGCGTCCACTTGCCACGATCCATAAAGGGCCGCGGGCCGTCGCTGGTGCTTACGGTGCTTATGGTGCGCTGGATCGCACCATCATCCGATGCATTCGATGACGTCGTCGATTCGATGGATGTTTGCCGGCGCTGCGTCGGCGGGTCCATCTTGGCCGCCTTCCAGTCCAGCATGCTACACAATCACGAGGTCAGCGACGGCCCCACCTTCTGTGCTCTCACCTCTGACGACGAGCTCCAAGACGAAATTGCAAAGTAAAAACGTCGCAGCGCAGCCTATAAAAAGACCAGCCCTCGATTGAAGAACATCGATAAGATCCTGCGGGGTGATTGATTAGATGAAGATCAAGCTTGATTCACAAAAGCGGCAGCAAGCTGATGTCGATGCACACAGCAGTTTCACCAACTACTAGTACCTCCTGCAGGAGCATTTAACATCATCAAGTCGGAAATTGCTCCAGTTGCTCTTTAGCTCAGACCAGGAACTTCGTCATGAAGTGATGCCACATACACACTGGAATGTACCAACGTCCAGTCACAATTTGCATTCGTCCACGACTCGTTGGCGTTTTGGAGTTGACGAAGAAGACGTACCGTCTAACTGTGTGGCATCCTGAAGGCCCCTATGTACTACCTACAAATGGGGGCCATCAGGATGCCTCACCGTTAGTCGGTGTCCTCAAAAGTACGAATCATATTTTTGCATCCTTGCGAGTGCGAACCAAAGCATTATACTAATATACTATTCCTGGTAGGAACGTTTACGTGGTGTACCAGCATCCCAGGGAATTAATTCGGTGTGTCGTGTCTCAATCCGGCCAACCCATTGGCTATATATAGAGCCATTTTGGCCAATGCAGTTTCATTGGTCTAAGCCAATCGCATCGCGCGAAACATGTCCAATAAAGTGCGATTTTGTAGTCCCTGTTAAGTGCTGTTACATCCCTGGACGTTATAGTTGATTAAAGTAAAACAATTGCGCTAAAGTGCGCCTGCGTACTTAAACGAAACTCACGCAACTTTCCAGTTAGGTGCGATTGCAGAAGCGCGCGAAGACTGCAGCAAGCGACGACGGCGCGTTGGCCCGGAAAAGTCTGCACACCGCAGCGCAGCGAAGGTCGAGCGTTGAATTTTGTCTTGGCCAACACGCCGACGTCGCAATACCGTTAATCAACGCTTCGCATTCAATACAAAAGTTCCTACCAGCTCACCCCGGAAGGGACCTGTTTATTGAATTCGTCGATAGTGCGCGTACTTAGTAGACATCATCGCATTTAAATATATATTGTCCCACTTTTTATTCGTAAAACTAGTCCTTTAATAATAAAAGACTATACCCCACGCCATAGTTAATGGCATTGTTTCTTTCTTCCAAAAATATTGCTAGCCAACATATAATGTGGAGCATACTTTGATTAAGAGAAACGTTTCAAGCCTGCCCGGTTTATTATTTTTGCGTGTCCGATCTTTTCCAGCGCACGTTCCGCATAATTCCGCATGCGTCTATGAACCATTCAGTCCTGGCATGCACGGAAGTCATCACTTTTCAAGCTCCCGCACACACAAGTCATGGGTCGCCGTCCTGCCAAGTGCTACCGCTTCCAGAACAAGAAGCCGTTCATCAAGTCGCGCTACTGCCGAGGTGTGCCCGACCCGAAGATCCGGATCTACGATGTCGGTAACAAGAAGGCGTCGGTCGATGCTTTCCCGTTCGTGTGCCACTTGGTGTCGGACGAAAAGGAACAGCTCTCGTCGGAAGCCCTCGAGGCCGCCCGCATTTCGGCCAACCGCTACCTCACCAAGTTCTGCGGCAAGGACAACTTTCACATGCGCATCCGTTGCCACCCGTTCCAGGTCCTCCGTATCAACAAGATGCTTTCGTGTGCCGGTGCCGATCGTCTCCAGACTGGAATGCGTCACGCGTACGGCAAGCCCACGGGTGTTGCCGCTCGCGTCGCTATCGGCCAGCCCATTATCTCGGTGCGCTCGAAGGACTCGTTCGGTCCCGCAGTCATCGAGGCCCTTCGTCGTGCCAAGTTCAAGTTCCCTGGTCGCCAGAAGGTTCTCGGCTCGAAGAAGTGGGGCTTCACCAAGTACGAGCGCGACGTGTACGCCAAGATGCGCCAGGAAGGCACACTTGCCGTCGACGGCAACCACGAAATCTACCGCCCGTCGCACGGTCGTCTTTGAGCGCCTTGCAGATAGGACTTTTATTTTAATTCATTGACTTGTGTGAAGGCTCATTTTTTCTGGGACGCCCACGAAACATGACCAGCACAGCGTATGATCTCACCGAGCCGTGCCACATCGACTTCCAACAACGCGCCCGGTCTCCAATGACCAGCGTTCAACGCAGGACAGGTCGGTAGGTAGCTGCAAAGGAAATCCGCGCAAGAGCATAGAACCTTTTGACCTAGATGAGCACGCGACCCTTTTCACAAGCCTCGAGAAATAGGCGCGTTGACCGGAGACGCCATATTTTTTATGTCGACGCCATTCGATCGCAATGCTTATGGTGCGGCGGTGAGCATCAGATTCGGCGAAGTCGAATGGATCCATGGCAATGCATATCCGGCTACCGTTACGGAGTATCCGGAAGATCTCAGTTCAAACGAGGTTCGCATTATTGCATCTCTCAGGCCGACGGTATAGCATGGCGGACTTGACGCAGCCGGACAGCGAGTGGGTGTTTGACTTTATCATGAACCTTTTCCAGTCGCCTGCGTGGGAGGTCCCGATCATGAGTTTTATCGACGAGAACTGCGCAAGCTTCGACACGGACGACGAAAACAAGTTCATTTACACCGACTTGCACCAGCAGTTCCGTGACGTCGGTACGCCCTCGACGCCACACTCGAGTCATAGCTTATCCACCCTACGTATGTCTAGTCGATGGCGTGCTCACGGCAAACCTCGCAGAAATCGGTATCTCGGCCGCCGACTTCGCCGACATATGTGTTCAGTGCCGCAACTCGACCGAGATCAGCATGGCTGTCGTCAACCAGATACTCGCGATCGATGATTTTCTCACGTTCAAGAAGCTCATGGTATATTGTAACTACGTTGTGTTGCTATGGTATAACAAAGGTACCAGGTGAAGCGCAACCTTGAGCTCGAGCTCGAGGTCATTACGGCCGTGCGCGATCAGAAAGAAAAAGCCGCGGATGAGGCCCGTGCGACGCTAGAAGCCGAGACGAAAGAGGGCGAGTGCAAGACCATGGAAGACGACGACATGGACATCAACGACTATGTCGAAGACTACTGGATGGAGATGGATCTACTCTACAAGCAAGAAGAGATGGAGCAAGCAGAGCTAGAGGCTGCTATCGCGCTTTCGATCGCTGTCGAAGAGGAGCGGTACTGTAAATGTCCTCCGCTTCAGAGACAGATAGGAGCGCGTTTCATGCATATATAGGTTTCGGCTGGCGTCGATTCAAGCAAAAGCGGCCGAAGACAAGGTCAAGCACAAGACAGGTCTCGTCGACATGGAGGTGGCGGAACAAGCCATTCTCCGCGGAAAGGAGCAAGCCGAGGAGGTCTTTCGTCGCAACAAGCAGGTGCTTGCGGAGAAAAAGGAAAAACACAAAGAGTTCCAAGAGCAGGTCCGTGATTCACTACTGAGCACTCTGATTATGTGTTTTCTAGGCCGAAATCTCGGATTTTGAGATTCGAAAGCGAGCCGAGTACTTGAAGGCGCAGCGCGACAAAATTCTTGAAAAGAAGAAGAAAGAGCGCGACGCAAAGCTTCAGGACTACCAAAAAGAGTTGAAGGTCACCGCGCCCGAGCCGGTAGCCTGTTGACTTTGCCTTTGAGATTCCACATTGTTGCGCCTTAGCCCACCGCACTGCTGGAGCGTATCCAAGACGCACCAATTGACACTGGTGAATCGAACGCAGAGGAGCGTCGGAAGGCACTTCGTATTGCTCTGGCCCGACGCATGAAACAGGTGCGGCAAGGTTGCTTGTATTATTCTAACACTCCTGGACTGTTGTAGGATCTTATGGATGCCTCCGACGATAAAGTTGCCAACCAAAAGATTCAAGTAAAATTGCCCTGGCATTTTGACGCCCAGTGAACCGTAATCGCTCATTCTCGCCTAGATGACAGACCTCGATGACAAGCTCAAGCGCGTTGAAGAAATGCGCAAGGTCAACCAAAAGAAGGAAGACGAGACCTTGGCGGAGCTCTCCAAGGTAGTCGTAGTTCTATGGAGAAGGGATCAGCTTCAATGTTGACCTTGTATTAGCACCAGAAGCGAAAGCAGAAGTAGCGGGGATAATGCATCTTCCATCGTGTACAGCACAAATTCATAAATCTAACAGAAGAGTCCCGCGTATCAAGACTACTTAGAGCTGTTGTGCATTCTTTTGTGTAGTTGTGCATTGTCTTGAGTGGATGGACATATGAGATATCCGACTGCAATCAGGAAACCCATGGACCGCTGGCTCGCTTCGGGTCAGAGCATTTGGTTTTCGCATGCAATCTCGAACACTTGGGCGTCCGCAAGTTGGGCGATGAGCGCAACAAGTTGACACTTAGGCGACTCATTAGCGTATGTGAAAACGGCAGACTGTACGAGCACACCATTTCCTCGTGGAAGGTAAGAGGCATTCCGTTCTGACCCATTCCTTTTGTCGTCGCGGCCCTACGCGGTTTACAAATCGTTTGGTCTGTCATCAAGGAAGCTTTTCAGTCTCGATGATAACCGGTACTTAATGAAGGTTGAGGGCATACATTGTGGAGGCGTGGACTGTCCGGTCTATCTCGTCGAGAATTTCGTCGTAAACGATGTTTTTGGTGTACGTACGGCCGTCGACATTGGTTTTTGAGTTGAGAGCCAAGATCCAGATATTGGCAAGTGCCTGGACGCGTGACATCGCAACGTAGAGCTGCCCGCGTGCAAAAACGGGTTCTAGTAGGTAAACAACAACACGAGGGACCGTCTGACTTGGGGACTTGTATATTGTCATGGCAAATGCGAGACAATCAGCGAACAGTTGACGCTTGAGCTGTGACGGCAGCACATTGTGTGGACCATCTTTGATACGCGTGATGCAAGGTTTGAAGACGTCTTCGCCACCTTGCGCAGCTGTCAATGTTGTAGCCTCAATGCATCGATCTCGCCGAGCGCGCACCAGGAGCCGAGTTCTTTCCGTAAACCTCTTCTGGGGCACACGTTGGGCAAAAGCATGATAGTGGCGTTGACCTTGGGTTCGCGACGGTGCGGTGGAAAGTCGGCGATATTGATGGAGTTGAGAAACTCATCTGGAAAGTTGATTGCTGTTCTTTTTTCAGCACGAAGGCTTCGCGCGGCCCTTGCCTTTGGGAGAATGCTTGGCACGGCCTTTGACGTTCGGAGGAGGCATGGCGCGGCCCTTACCTCCGGATGCACGCTGTGTTGGTGCTAAGCCCGAATCAAAGTCAAGGTCCAGGTCTAAGTCGCGGTCCAAGTCAAGCTGGTGCTGCAGAGATGGGGACATCGCACGACCGTTCCTTCTTTGCGGACGAAAGAGATTGGGACCCGACGCCGGACACAGGTTATCCGCAAGCGGGGTTCGGCAGCCGGCGCTTCTTTTCGTTCTGCTGGCAAGAAACGCCCCACGACCACCTCGTTACCCGTTTCCAGGTGAAGCGAGGAATCTAGTTCATAACAGGGAGCAGCTCGGGGGAAACTATTGGCCACCTGTTGCATTCATGGATGAGCATACATAGTGCACACGTGCCTCACGAATAATGAAGCGTACTCCGATCGTGGTGAAAATTTATGCGCTCAGCAAGTTTGCTGTTCAAGAGATGCGATGGCATATCGATCCTAATTCACTGTGCCATCAGGCATAGTACTCTATACTTGCGAAGACCCAAAGTAGAGAGCAAACATATACTTCCGAAAAACTCGTCGTCAAACTGTACGACAAAACTGGACCAATCACCGGCGACTCGAATCGTGTTTGCTTAGTGGACCGACTGTTATGGTGAGTGGCTCGCAGCTGGAACGCGTGTTCTTTTCGCAAGCCGAGCTCAGACTGTGTAAAACACGAAGGCGCAGTTTTCCGGGGCCTGCATTGACAGAATGCACATTGGTGTGAAGCAGCGAGGAGCTGTTGACTTCGTTGTCCTGGACTCGGAGGCGACGACAGACGCGAATCCTTGCGGTGGCCTGTTGCATCAGCAGTGCCTAGATTCAGGAGCAGCCGTGACAGGTCGGATGCTGGCAGCATGATAAGCGAGTCGGCATCATCGTCCCAATACTAACGTGGAGGCGGGGACTTTGCTGGACGAAGCGGAATTGCCTCACAGCTCGTTTGTTGTCAGCGACTCGAATACACGTCGTGCATACTGACACATCAAGCTCTCAGGCGTTCTCGAGTCCGTACTCACGCTGGAGTTGCGCCTTCTTTGCGGCATACTCAAGTGTCGCAGGTGGTGGCAGTCAAACTACCTCCGGTGTGGAACAGAGCTGCTCAACTGCCGGCACGGCACAGTGTCGAATCGCGTTCGATCACCGAACTGTTCCTTTGGAGGCGAAGCATGCAGCCGAGGTGGATACTACTTCCGAGATGAAATCGCAGAAGATGCGAGGACACCAGCCCTACCAAAATCGAGCGCACTAAACCTTTGATGCACTTCGCTAAGCTTGGTCGGCTGGCGTCGTTCATTTTCGGCTGCAGTTGCCTTGGCGCACTTTTCTTTCGTCTGCTGGCCCAAGCCACTGACTCTCCGCTTCACGAAGACGTTTCCTTCTCGTTCAACGCTTGCGCCTCGCATTCTTGCACTTTCGACGCAGCTCGTCGTTATTCGCTGCCAAGTTATATGGACATTTGGGCTCGGACAACAAATGCGAAAATACTAGATTTTTCGAGAACTAGTAGTAGCAAGAGGCCACTGCAATGCCAAGAAACCACGCCGGCGGATGTGCTGCACAGTGTGCTGCACACACATCACCACAGAGTATTTATTAACTATGTACGCGCACTCGTTTTGCTCGTAGGTCAGCTCAGTGGCCAAAGTGGCTTGAACACCTGTCGACCCACGAAGGAGGGTTGCTCAGATATCTGACCGTTTATATAATAGGGGAGAGAGACACCGACCGAGCACATAGAACCAACGCCGCACGGAGCGTAGTAACAGGCGAGAGC